AGAATATTATAACCTACATAATCAAATTCAAAATAAAGAGAATACCTCCTAACCATCTTCACCGCCGCTTGCTTCATTTGTCAATATATGTTGGATACATGGCAGTTCTTGAATTCGACAAAAATAACAAAACAAGAAAACATTAGTTATGGCCAGTTGGTGATGGAGTTAAGCCTTTAATTATGTGACCCAGAGAAGGGATGTGGCAGATAAGACATTAAAACACTTGAGCCATAATAATAAAAAAATAGATTTCTCCTGATTTTTGTTTTCTTTTATTTCCTTGACAAGCAAAGAAGTAGGAAGAAGACCTGTGATTGTAAAATCACCAGCACATGATCCTCGAGGAGATCTAAAACCCTAATCAAATTATATCCACAAGGATGCAAAAGAGTTACATTTAGTGTCTTGTTCTTCTGTTAGGGTCCAGTGATGGATAGGTTTCTCCTTCAGAGCTGTGCCAAGAGAACAGGATCTTCCCTTTAGATACTGGGCCACTGTCCTTATACTTAAGACACATGGTCATCATCCAACCCACAGCAGACCCCACCTGAGCTCCCGTGGAGGTACAAGAACCCTAACCACAAGCCCCGAACCCCACACCATGTGCAGCTCATTGGACACCTAGAGAAGAGGTCCCCTCTTGGGGTGTTACAATTCAACTCCCTGGAACCAACTGCTTTAAAATGCAAGACCTGCAATTTTCAACATTTGTTTCAAAAAGGTCCCACGTGGACTGTTTCAGAAAAGAACAAAGAGAAACAGATCAATGAGTGATTGATTCAAGCACCCTTCAAATCAATCTCCCAAAGCTTCACAACCACCAATTTACAGGAACAAGCAGTGCAGTCTTTCATTTTCTTCATCCATTGTTTCCACAACTTCATACAGTTAAAAACTAAAATTTATTAGCAGTTTATTATTTCAATTCACTATTCAGTTCCTTCTGGTCCTGTCGTCCAAATCAAAATGATATCTTTTCCTGCAGATGATGCTATCTGCATTCTTACCATAATTTATCGAAAGAGTTGTAGAACAAGAATAAAGATATAAATAACATACCTCCCAGTTTCTTACCATTGCCACTGTTTTTTGCTTGAGATTGCACAAGACACCGCAAGCATCCAACCAGTCTCACTCACTGCCTTTCAACACGAGAAAATCAATCCCAATCCAAATAATTAATTTGAAATGATTCATATCTTGCAGGTCAGTCCTAACCAAAATAATAAATGAAGGATTCACATCTTTTTAGATCAATTTAATTTGGTTAGGCTGCTCTAGATTGATCAGTTCAGGAAAGAGTGCCACTTAAATGACACACTTGCACATAGTTCAGTTCAATTTCTATTCATTTACAAAACTATATGTAGATATTATATATATCATGTATGCATGTGGTACTAAGAATGATAAAAGAATGGAAATTTAATTGAAACAAACGTGCAGTAAGAGTACAGACAACAGGAGATCCCCAACGAAAAACAAAATATCCAAAAAATGACTCTAATACCTTTCATATTCTTGTCTATTGAAACAAAAATGTGGCGTCCAAGGATTAATCAATAACAAATGGTCCTGTCATTGTTCTTGAAATTTTTATTTTTCTCTAAGGTCAAAATAAATAATTTTCAAATGGATCACCTTGATCAAATTAAGGCTTCAATGGTACCAAATTTCTAGGTATGCCATGTAACCAAAAAACAAAGTGCTCAACAAAAGCTTGGATAGAACTTTTCCGACATTTTGAAGGCCATCACATCTTTAATGACATACACAGACTTTTGTTGTTTTTCAGCCTCTTTCATGTCTGTGTTGCAGCCCCATATACGAACTGCTAGTCTCCGACGCTTTGGGGATGACTTGAGAAAATACGTTCTGTACCAGTCAATAACATCCTTCTTCTGAATGCTTCTGAGTTCATCTGCTTCCTTCTGTGACATGTCAAACATATACCTGACAATCAAGAACATCTATTAGGACTGAGTCTGAAACAGCAAGAGCTTATACATATACTGTACATGCCAACAGTCATGGTGATATAACAACATCTTAGTACCTTTTATCAACAATCTGACCCCAAAATCGATTTGTTTCATATGTGAGAGATGGATCTTTTTCCAGTAGCTTCGCAACTAGCCCATTTTTGTAATCATCAAATGATTCATCATCAAGCCCTTCCTACAATTGCAATACATTTTCAAAATTCAGAGATGAGCTGTATGTGTTAGATGATGGCACCAATTCTGAGGCTTCTGTGTATTAACCAGAACTGAGGCTTCAAACAATGAGTTAATAATACATGGATAAATGAACTCAAGAAAACTATGCGCAATAAAATCAAAATGTGCATCTCATTGACATTGAAAATAGAAGGTCAATTTTGGCACCTCAAAATAGATCAGTCAGAAAGACAGTCAAAAAAATTTGTGACTAGCAAAGTCAGCATCATGCTTTGGCTTTTCTCTTCCCCCCAGAAAAAGCAAGAAAGAATCATACATTGGCTGACAAATAGACACAGCATAGCCTTTTCATAAACTAACTACAACTAACTGCCAACCTTACACAACAGAACAATGATAAACAAAACACGAAGTAAATTGCTTGGACATGGTTGACATACTATCATATAAAAGCTAAAAAAACTTGCTGAATGCATAAATCAATTCCGGTGCTTACCAGCAATTCTTCCAGTCCATTTATGAAGCTATCAATCCTACTCTGCAAATAAACTGGATTGTACTTGGACGATTGAACAGAGAAACAAAATCCATGAATGCGATATGTTATCCGGGGGCTACATTCGACAACATAACCGAGCTGCTCTTTTGTTCTAGATTTACAGCCAAATGGAAAATTTGGAAAGAAAAAACAGATCAGTGGATATAACTTCATTTTTAGATTAGATATGGAAATACTGAGGAAAGGCATAAAACAAAAGCAAAGTAGGAGAATGCGAACATAATAAGTTTCATGGATCATGGGCAATTGCATATCTCATGAGGAGAAAATGAAAAACCTAATAATCAGAAAGTACAAAAAGAAATGATAAATTAATGGTTTAGATCCCTTTAGCATCAGGGAAACCCACCTTAACTGGTTGAAAAGTGGCTCTTCCACAATTTCATCGAAGAGGTCAACAAAGGCCTTCAATTTTGCTGTTTCTCTTCCTTCCTCAGGCTCAATTTGGAAGTATAGCTGCAGTACAAATTGATACAGAAATCCGAGAAAATAATAAATGTACAAAATAAGAATTACATAGATAGATATGTTATATCAACTCGTATACCACTAGGAAAATAGTCTACCTCAATGACAGAGTTGGTTTCAGATTTATTCTTCACACTGACATCCATTACGAGGTTTGCACCAGAAGGAAGACATAGTACATTCTCTCCTTGCCTCATTTGCAATGGGAGTGGTTCCACAGGAAAATTACTCTTAAAGATATTTGATATATTAATTGCTTCTTCTTCTAACAAATTACCGTGGCAAAGGCCTTCAATATATAGCTGAACAATAAGCATATGTATGTAAATAGTACTAAAGTGAATTACAGTCCGAAAGCAGATTAGAAAACAAGGCCTACCAGTTAAGATGCAGGTTTTCCCAACAAAACTGAAAGAACAAACAGAAGTTTGATGATAACTCAACTCATATATTACCAACAAACCATAATACCATGTCTTTCCCACATTTAATCCATCCTTTCTAGCATGTAAGTTGACTTTGTTTATTTGTGCACCCGTCCTAGAAGCCTCATATTAAGGCTAACCAGGACATAGGCGCCCAAGATAAGTTTATTGGAAAAACCTATGTGCGAGGGACCCATGTTACAGCAGGGAAGGAGGCTCCGGTTTCCTGCTTTCCAATTTACTGTCTCAACCAGCAAGGAAAAAATTAAGGTTCCTCGGAAGAACCTATTTGATGCAGAATAGGAGGTTTCAAAAGTAGACATATTTCAATAATAGAAAATATGAGACATAATCAATAAAGGAACATAAACATTTTGGAAGTTAACTAAAACAAATATAAAGATTTGATTTCCTTTCCTAATTTAATAAAAAGGAACCGGAATATTTAATTAACTTTTCTAAATTTTGAAATTTTTATAATAAAGGAAAATAGGATGGTTTGTTTTCCTATTTCTTAGATTTTCCAGATTTCTTATTTCCTAGATTTCCTATTTTCCTAGTCCTTTCTATTTAATTTATTTTTTATTTAGTAAGTTTTCCAAATTCCTATTTTTGATGTACCTGGTGCCGATAAATAGGGTATCTAGTTTAGTTATTAAGTAGATTATTCATCATTAGTTATTAAAAAAAACCCTAAACCAGAAAAGAAGGTCAGCTTGTTTGCCAGCCACCATCAGGAGGTGGTTGATACCGCTTCCAGCAGTAGCCTTAGACGTTCCCAGTCAGCAAAACCCCAAAACCCTGCTACAAAACTACTCTTGAGATTTTTAGAAGTGCTCTTTCACTTTTTTAATGTTAGTTGGCTCAAATTTGTGTTCTTTATTCATTTTTCCAAGTTGATATGAACGAAATGTGTTTAGCGTCAGAGGAAAATTGGATGGATTTAAAATAATGAATGTTGTTCTTTTAATGACATTCTATCGAGTATATGGTTCAGTTACAAATGATGATTTATGATATTCACTTCATACAAAACGTTTGGTCAATATGGATATGTAGAGAGAATTAAAATAAATTGACATTCTACAAGGTTGCAAGCTTTTTTAACCTATGAACTTTATGAATATGCTATTTAAGCTGGAGATTCTCATCAAGGATGCTACTTATATGAGAGATGTTATCAAAGAAAAATATAAAACTATCTCTTGATGTCTAAAATAGTGAAAACAAATGTTCCACCTACAAAAGACCAGTTGTCACAAAAGCAATATGACACTTCTTATTCTTATAAAGTTTTGGAGGATATGAAAATATATATTCAAGATTTAAGTAATAAGATTGATATGTATGTACTAGACTAGACAATTAGATACCCAGCCTGTAATCACAACGATCCAATCACAAGAGTGAAACTCTACCAATTGAGCTATATCCCCCCAAATCAAATGGGGATGCATGAAGGAGTCATGTGCTTCTTTCATTCTTTTCTTTGGCATAATTGAGCTATCCTGAACTTAATCGGAGACCTTACTCGTGAAGTAAATTATCACAGTCGAACCAATTTTAGAGAGAATCAATAGATTCCTTTTCGGAAGTAATTCACCATTTTGAATGTAGCATACAACTCGCTTCCGATATGGCTCTCATAGGTTCCCTTAACCAAGTCATTGCCTATGAGTTGTCAGTTCGTTCTTTAATAGGCACACGGAACAGAGCCCTAGGCAACTCTTATTGCTTGATACGGTTCCCATAGGTTCCCTTAACCAAGTCATTGCCTATGAGTTGTCAGCTCGTTCATTAATAGGCACACAGGACAAAGCCCTGGGCTCCTCCTATTGCTTGGAAGTTTTTGGTTTCATATTCTATTTCACTCCCCAGTGGATGTTCTTTTCACCATTCCCTCACAGTACTATTTCGTTATTAGTCATCTATGAGTATTTAGACTTTCAAAGTAGTCCATATTGATTCACACGGAATTTCACGTACCCATTGCTACTCGATAAGAGGATAGTCTACTTATATATAATGATAAAGTGGCCCATTCAATTCTTTTTTGTCCATTAGTTAAGTCCTTTTTTTTTCTTTTCATCATGGGAGGAGCAATTTGGTAGCTCACAAGGCTAATAACCTTTAAATCATGGGTTCTAATCCCATCTCCGTCAACATTTCTTGACAAAAAGGATTGTGATGTTTTTCATGGGATAGCATGTCTCTTTATTAGTTCCTATTAGTGCTTTTGATTGAAAAATCAATCTGATTTAATTTATTTTGTACCTTTCACTCAATGAAAAAATGTATCAGATTCTATAAGATCAAATTCATGAGACTTTAACTTTAAAATCATCTCAATGTTGGACCTTGGACATATAATAGTTCCAAAAGTGAATCTATTTAGAAAAAAGATTAGAAGAGATTGTGAACGAGGCTGTTATTCCTGCTGATCAAGTTGAGTTTCGAGCAGTAGATCTCTCAATTAGTTTTAAGCAATGTTGTTGAGGCTGAAACAATGATGTTCCCGTTAAGAAGCAAGAGGTCTCGTCTAAAAATATTGCTCCACTTATTTTGGCTCCTAACAACAATGAGGCA